CCACCACCACCACCACTACTACTACTAATAATAATGATAATAATAGTAAAATAGTATTAAACGAATGTCTAAAATGTCCAGAAAAGTAACAACTTCAAACAGTTTATTGCTACGAATATGTCCACACCGTAACTAAAAGATTCGTGGTAGTTACATTAGTCTCCACTCTAAAAAACTATTTAACTTAAATCTGAATAACTATCGTAAAATTTCACACTAACATCAGCATTGCTGTCCAATTTGTTATCACGGCTCTTACTTGGTGTAGAAGACACAGTAAACGTCACGCTATTGTTTTCATTGTTATTATCACGTTATGCAGAAACAAACTTTTAGTCCACACGAGGATTTCCCAGCATTCTACGCAAACTCTTCGCTCATGGAAATTCCACCAGTTGAGTGGCTCGGCGTGATTACAGGTGACCTTTCTTCGTCATCGTAGGCATAATCTCCACCATTAATGGGTGACGAACTAAGGCCGTATGTTGGGGGCAGACGGTAGTTTCTGACATAACTTTGTGCAACGCTCTATGATAAAAGTTAAAAGCGTTCATTGGAGAAATTTTCAATTCAGAGTCGAAAGTAATCTGGGATTTTTAGCAACGGTTTAGTTATTCTTTGCTGTGAGTGGTCACGATTGCTTATCAAATAAATGTAAGACTTATTCCATCTCGACTTGTTACTGCGCACAAATTATTGCGCTCCAAGCAGTTTGCTTATGTTTTACTTTGAATTCTGATTAGCTCCTCGTGATATTTTCCTTCGTTCTTTGTGGCCATTATGATTACCTCGTTTTTGTTTAAACACAGCAACATGTGGAAATGCGCCGTGAGATGACGTTAATATCTACGTCTTACCGAACGAAAGCCGTCGAGCAGACTTAACAATAATTTAGCTCTCACTGTTCACACTTCCCACTACACAAATCACTTCATGAAAAGGGCACTTCAGCTATTACACAACACGCATCGAGTACCAAGCGCCACACATCATTCGATAAAACATCGCACATCACTCATCACGTACCAGGCACGACACATCAAAAATCACATATCACGCCTGACACATCACACATTCCGCATCACGTATATCAAACCACATATACCTCACATCACACTTCACGTAACACACAGCACACCACACTGACCTGTAAGAAACGAGGACTCGCTTCTGCCAATCCAGACGCCATGTTAATAGACAAGTACATTGAAGGTTTCAGACAATGCTGCTGGATAAACAAGAAAAACAGGATCGTGATAACAGGAAGGGGAAGCATAAAACCCGCAGCGACGAACGACTCCTTCAAGCTTAGTACTCCTGTCATTAGGAGATGGAAGACGATCATTCCAGCTATTATCCTGCAAAAATACAAAATAGAGCGACTTCATATAGAGCACTTTCTTTATGTGAAACTAATTTACCACCTCGCAGACCAGCGAGTTCTTTTCGGTTCATTTCATATAGTGTCTGCGTGGATCACAAAGGAGAACAGACAAGGGGTATGAATCATGGTCCTTTGACATGTTACTCATTGTCCGAGGCCAGCTGTTTGAATTTTTTTTCGTCCAACTAAAGAATAAAAAGTGAGATAATGAGACAAAAAGTACCCTGCTCATGATATCAAAATGACGATCGACGCATGGTCTACGCTCAATTTCTGCCGTTTTCTCGGGCTCAGTCTTTCAGCCTCTTAAGCATGGGAGGGAGCACCTGCTCATTTCCTGAACAGCGATTAGTAATCGAGCCTATTTATGACCCTATAACTTTGGTTATCAACTTATCATCAAGTTGATCACGTAACTTGGCCACCGAAAGCGTTTCAAAGCTGACGTTTCGAGCGTTAGCCCTTCGTCATAAACCCATTCGCTCTGACAAAGGGCTGACGCTAGAAACGTCAGCTTTGAATCTCTTTACAGTGGCCAATTCACATTATCAAATTAGTTGCTAAAACCAAAATGATCGTGTTCTACTACCCCACCGACGCAGCACCACAGTTTCTTTAGAAACTTACCCTCTTTATCTATGACCTTAACTTACCTGTTGAAAACTATTGGCCACATCCGCCCGCCAGTACTATACACTGGGATGTATACACAAAGTATCTGGTGCATCCAGGCTATGTAACCAAACCCGAAGTACAACACGAGAAACGGAGTGATGAGAGGAGCGAGGACTGAGTACGAAATGCCCACGATCAGAACAAACAAGTGATCTTTGTACTGCAAAAGAGGGTCGATGATAATTAGTCTCTTACCAAAGGGTAATGACATGTTACATAAGTCTATACCGAAAAAATTCCGGTACCCAGGATATCCAGGCTAAAATTTCAGTGATACACAGACCTATGTCCACCAGGAAGAAATCTCCAGTTACCCTGGGGTAAAATTTCAACTCGCGCAAAAAATTCGAAGCTTGTGTACAAGCAAGGATCGAGATATCCCGGTTGCCTTATAAATACACAAGACTACTTGTAACGCACATTGAAATCTGGCGTGTTTGCCTTCTTTTTCACGAGATAACTCTCACTTTTAACTTTACAATTAATAATTTCCTGGTGTTGGCGGTACAATAGCTGTCAACCGTTTTCCACAGCATCAGAGAAGAATGATTAAACGTTATCAGAGCTGTTAACTGAGAAGAGACTTTTGACAACATTAAGAAAAAAAATTTGCGTAAGTTTTAACAATGCATACCAGTCGATCATACATGGCATAGGGTGGTCTCCAGGCCGCCTCGTCTTCTCTTGGAGTGTGACAAAACCACTTCCGTTTAATAGGAATGATAATAAGATAAAAAATGCGCAGAAGCTCCAGTGACGTCCCAGTTAGACCACGAAACACGATGTAACAGATAAAGAACGTGGCCTGCGCCGGCAAGGACTGAGCCAAGTACTGCGGTATATCCTCAGGTTTTCTCAGTATTTCTTTAAATTTTCCGAAAACCGCTGCCCCGGCGGACAGAAAAAGGAATTGATTGACAATCTGTAGAGGCACAACAACAATAAAGTTATTTTCCATTGATTCAGGTGTCCAAAATAATCTCAAAATGTCTCGCTTTTGGCTAACTTCGCTTTGGTAGTGGTCGAGAAAATAACCACTGGTTTTCAACCAGTTGGCCGCTTGACTCTTATGCAGACTTTACGGATCAATCTCAGTATCTGGGCAACTGGCCATCTTCCCCTCCTCTAACTCAACAACAGTCAATTGATAACAAGTTAGGGTTAATGTTGGGTTAGGGGAGGGGTAGGTGGGCAGTTTCCCAGATACTGATATTGACCCGACTTTACAATACCTTTCTACCTTAACAGTGCAAAGCTCAAAAGCAAAAGAGATCATTATATGGAATTTTCAACTCAAACTGAAGAAATTAAGTTAAAAATTAGAAAAATTATTTATAATTTTGAAAACATTACCACAAAAATGAAAAGTTTTCCCAGGACAGACTTGTCCACTTCACTCTGTGAAGCAAGGCCCTCAAGTCTGGTAAGCCTCTCCAGAATCTGAAAAAGGAAAAATTCTACTAAATCAAATGAGAAGAAAGAAGGGAGGGGAGGGTGGGTTAGAGTCAATCTGTCTTATACAAGCAACAAGTATCCTGTCAATTGGGATTTATTAAACTCTTAAACTCTTTGTGGTTTCTTAAAGCAATGATAAGCTCTAATGGCAGGGGCCACTTTGATTGGTGTAATTTTACATAATACAACGGTCAAATGTAATACATAATGGTAATTGGACTGAGTGAAGTCCAATTCCATTTGTAATCATACGAGTGATTAACAAAATCAGATGACCATGAAGAGGAAGTCCGATTTGTCAATCATAAGTATGATTACAGACATAATTGGACGACAAGAAGTCCTGTTACCAATTGATTAATCATAACCATTTCCATTTCTGAAAAAACAAATGCACCTTAAACAAATATCTCTAGTGGAGACAATATCTTAAGTCAGTCTTGAGTATGATTACAGACAGAATTGGCCAACATCGAGTCCTGTTACCAATTAATCATAACCATTAAAATTTCCAAAAAAACAAAAAACAAAAAAAAAAACATTTAGGACAAACATCTCCAGTAAGGACAATGTCTAAAGCAAAATGTTTGGAAATTTCCCTGACTTTTTACAGGGTAAGTGGTTGTTGATGTGGTTATTGTGATCAATTCTATGATTGGTGGATTTAGCTGAGTGGACTTAGTATGATTGGCTGCTTCAACTGTCTGATTACAGGTGTCCAATAACAGCCAACTGTCTAATTTAACACCGTCCGATTACAACTGTACAGAGTGATTAGGGAAATATGAAGCAGCTGATGCACCAATCACATTTGAGGAAATTGTAATGGTTATAATTAATGTGCAAATGGGACAATTTTCGCCAGTTGTGCAATGCTTTTAGGGAAATCTGACTGAAAACCAAAGCCACATAAATCCATAAAAGTACTTTGTAATGTCCAAATAAATCTGAAAAAGGTAATAAAATTAAGGGAAAAAATCTTAAGACTTTTTGAACACAAATTTTACTCAATTGCAGGAGTATTCTGTTGATGTACCAGCTTACCGAAAAAGTCTAATCACCAATACTAGCTTAAAATCCCTGCAAAAAAACTTGCTTTAGAACGTCTGAAACTACCCTGACTCTGGGCCACCTCTTTGTCCTTACAATGTTTGGACATGCACAGATGTCTGACTGTTATGTTTTCTTTACCTCGACTCCACTTCCGTTACAGCTCCTTAACCCTTTCACTCCCGAGATCTAATAAGTAATTCTCCTTACTATCTGCCATACAATTCTTACGATGTTAGTTCAGAGAA